TTAAACTACCGCAGTAATATCACGAGTTAAATTGCCTGGCAATTTAACAAATTTTTGATGCTTATTCGCATCTTCGAAACGATCTTAATAATGATGAATAACATATTAAAATCTGTAAATAATTAATTCTCTTATTGCGAAAAATATTACCTCGGCCGGGAGTCGAACCCAGATTTCTTGCATATCGTGCGAACGTCCTAAGCCTTTAGACTACCGAGGCCTTAGTAATATTCTTCGCAATAATTGGCATATGAAAGAACAACGCCTCTTTAGGCGACGTAAATAAATAATACAATATTTTATAGGACCGTATATGTGATAACACAAACTATAGAAATCAAAGCCTTAAACGGTCTAGCTGAATCTTAATGCTTGTATGATTCTTACCTTGTTTAATACATTTAGTACCTTTGAAACTTATCGTCGGAAAATTATAATTTATGATTAATAAATATTATTTAGTACACCTAACTACAGCTCGTTTAATGTATTGACCTGGATTTTACTATTTATTAATTTGTCGTAAGTTATACGAGCGAAAAGAATTGATATTATTTATATTGTAATATAATTGATTAATTTCTTACGGCTTACGAATTGCGACTTTATTATGTAACAGGCCTAAATCCTACATTTCAAGCGTTGGGTTCCTTCGGAGCGACTCCGAGCAGCTCCCGAGAGACAAAACGAATAATGTTAATAAACCACAGAATGAATTAAACAAGAGAAGCCTTTCTATCCCATATGTAAAGGGATCAACAAACCGGATTTTCAATAACATTCAGAAACAAAGAAAAACGTGGTTCAAATAAAAACACAATTTTGTTTAAAAGGCTTATACCACGAACGCAAGATAACGGTAGCGAAATTTAAATTTTATTAATGTTTAATAGTGATAATAAACGTTTCGGTCATAAATTAGACCTTCTTCGGTATTAATAATTTTTAAAAACAGAACTTAAAATTCGCAATTCTATCAATTCACCTAGCATGTTAAATTTTTTGATTTAAACCGTTGAGCTTATATTATTCATAATAAATTACAATATCTTTCCAATCAACGCAACAATTTATACGAAATTAATTCAAAAACATTGTAGTCATACGATAATCGATTTCATGCTTTACAGAACCAAAATGTATTAAAAATTATTAATACTGAAGAAGGTCTAATTTATGACCGAAACGTTTATTATCACTATGTATTAAACATTAATAAAATTTAAATTTCGCTACCGTTATCTTGCATTCGTGGTATAAGCCTTTCAAACAAAATTGTTGAACATTCAGAAACTTTTTCAAGTAAATTCAAGGATTTTGAGTGATTTTTTCGAAAATCATTTATCCGATATTCGGATGTAATAATGGAACAATTTATGAAATTTTTATATTTTTACTAATTTGAGGTGAAACCCGTACATCCTTAATTATAAATTTTGCAAATATCACATGAGTATTTTGAAAACAAACTATCGCTTGTTATTTTTTTATTTTATTTATTTATAATATTTGAAGTTTCAAGAAAATGTAAAATACTTATAAAAATTTTAATATCTGGTATAAATAGATCTTTTTAGAAATTAATATGTTTATGTATTCTTTCTATTTTAAGAGATCGAGTAAACAATTCCTTTAACTTTTGAATTTATGTGTCGAATTTTTAAGGAAAGATCGTGATAAAAGTTCAACGTCATAATTCATATCGTTATAATTTTAGATATACAATGTTAATATTTTTTATGCCAATGTAATCCTCATACTTTTATTTCTCAACACATATACATGTTATGAGTTATTTATTTTAGATGGTTAACAATTAGTACGTGAAAAAAATTGGTTGTTACATAGACGAAGGTTTCCACTGCCATAGAAGAATCTGCATTTTGTATATTAGGCATGCTATTACAAAATATCGCGTAAAATGTTTCATAACATTAATATCTCATATTGCTCTTATATTTCTTTCTCCTCTTCGCATATCATGTCAATTATCAGCGACCCAGTTTAGCAGCGTCATCCTTTCACCGGTTTCAAGTGGGGAAGCATTTTCTTCAATTTACCTACATTTCTCCCAATGATTGAGAAGAGATAGCAAAACTTCACGTATGCATCTTGTTAAGATTTACTTTAATTATTAAATCCAGCCTAAATATATCTTTTCTTATTAACATTTTTGTCAAAAAAAAGATGTATGTTAAAAGAAATATTTATTAAGTAATAAATATTTTTCTTAACAAATATAAAATATGTATGCACGTTCTAAAATAATTATTGTGTGTAGTAATCTGAAGGCGAGAGAAATCCATTATTATTTGATAATGAAAAGTAGGATATTTATCAAGATTCATTTTTCCCACAGTTTTAGCGGAATTTAGCCAATTAAATGGTTTTTTATGGAAGAAGCTAGTAACCGTGCTATATTTGCTGACGTTCACAGCATCTGATTTTACGCTATAATGTCATTTAGTAACAAAATTGATTAATAGACAAAAACTTCAAGCAATGCCCATGGCGAGGTACAATACATTAACATATAATAACACATAAAAAAATTTATGGAGAGCAACTCAAACCAGAGTAGATATTTCTTATAGATTTTGGGTCACTGTATTCAAATTCGTAAACTGTTTTATTCTACCACGTCCAGTCTTTTAGATAATCAAGAAAAATAATGGAAAATCTATGAAAATTGAATTGAACATTTAAGGAAACAGTAAAAGTAAATATATAAAATATAACATTAAAATGCGGTTGTAGAACTGATTTAAATATATTTTGACAAAGTGTACAAAACAGAAATTTTGCTTTACCGTTAAGTATTATAGCTTACATACCTGCACTGCGTAAATTTGTACTGATACATTTTGTGCCCAACTCTATGGCTAACTTACTTAACGTATCTTCTAAAAGTAACAATTAAAATAACCATTTGAAGCTGAAAAAATCTTTCATAGCTCATATAGATCGGCTAATTATTTATTACATAAAGGAATTTTACACTAATTTGTTTTATGACGTGTTAGGTTGTAATAACATTAGTAAAACAAAATTTTTTATTTCTTGTACTTTGTTAAACCAAAATATATTTAAATCAAATTCTGCGACCCACATTTTAATGTTATAGTTACTTTTGCTCCTTTCTCAAATGTTTCAATTTTCATAAACTTTTCCATCATTTGTCTTGATTATTGAAAAAATCGAACGTGATGGAGCTTACGAGCTAGAACCAGCTTACGCGCGCGCGCGCGCGCGAATTGGGATTTAGAAACCTAAAATCTATAAGAAACACATACTCAGGTTTGAGTTGTTCTCCAAAAATTGTTTTCGTGCTCCTGAGTAATATGAACATTTCAATTAAAATAAAAATTAATTTGAATGATTAAAAGAATCAAATTATGTAAAAAAATTATATGACTTTATTTGAAAAATTACCGAAAACGTTGATTTCTTATTAAAAAAAATAGCATAATAAATGTATAATACGTTTCTACAATATACTGCCTTAAATAATACAATTGTCCTCATATTTGTTTTTTCAACAGTATAATTATTCTCTTATTATTTAGATCTTTAGATTTTCTTATAGATTTAACAAACAGATAGTTATTTGAAATAGCAGTTTCTAATAGTTTATTATGTATACAAATATATAATGTATTTGATTTAAGTATGTATACTTAATTATTTTTTAAATAACAGAAATACAAAAAAAAACAGGACAATAAAAAATTTTTTAATAAAAGTTATTTTGAGGAACATTTATATATAATGCTTAAACAAAAGTTTTTAACTGTTTTTTAATTAACACTTTTTTATTAAATATATTTTGCTTTTCTACTTATACCTAAAAACACAAATAATATCTCAAGAACGACTACCAAAAACACATTTTATTGCATTGTTAAACTTTGTCATGAAATACTTTACATAAAACCGTGATTATATTATTTCATTTAAACAGTTAAAATTATCATTAAATACATTTACGAAAGTTTAAAACTTTTAAGTCATTTTATAAATTTTCCTAACTAGAATAACTTTATTCAGAATAAAAAATTTTTAATAATTACATTATTAAAAAAAATTAACTATGTACATGTTTAAACCATATACACTTAGCATATACATTTAATCCAGATATATTGAATAAAAACGATTGCATTATCGATATAAATATGCGTTTGAATTACAAAGTAATTTTGTTTACAATATTAATCAAAATTAAATAAAAATCAATAACGCGCGTAACGTAATGTTGTATCTTATTTTATAAAAATTGAAACAAGGTATAACGTAATTATCTTATTTTTTGCACCCAATTAAAAAACAAGAAAAACAAGAAGATACAATTTGGAGAAGTTGTTGCAAGGTAAATTTTGCAATCTATAATACATACATTTACCGTTATCGTGCACAAGTGCAATCACAGATTACGTACCAGAACGAGATTTCACCGTATTCAATTTAGCTACTTTCCTGCACTACCTGTATTTATTTAAAATAAAGTGAGTATCTATGCTTTAAACAGAGAAAAATAAAAGTACGGAGAGTGTAATTGTAAATTGTCTCCCTTTCTTCCTTTTTTTTCTAAAAAAGAATAATCCTCATTTAGCATTAAAAGTTAGATAGAATATAACCTGAATAAAATATTCTGAATAAACTTAAAAAGAAATGATGGAGTACATCATGTTTGTACAATTATCAGTACGCGAAATTCTCTGTTATGCTATTTTTTTAACATCATAGATATTTATATAGGCAATATATATCTCATGAACAGTTTAGACATTTTACATTCAAAGAGATAATCGCAACGTAAAGTTTGTTAAACTATTATTTTCACAAACATTCTCTTTATAAAAATTTTATATCTTCGCATTCTTGCACTCTCTCCAGTTATATTCCTTGTCTCCATAGTCCTGACGGAACGTTTGTACTATAGCTAAGACTTCACTACCTGACATTTCCACGATACGCTCGGTAATTCGGGCGTACTAGAAACCACAGTCAACATTTGCCGGTCACCTAGTGCGCATTGCGAAGCATAGACATATATTTACTTTATTTAGAAAATAATGCAAGAAAGTGGATAAAATAAATACGATAAAACTTTAATACAAAATATTTATTTATGTATATCATTGGTGCTGATTGTATAAAACTGTTAAGTGTAACTTCTGCAAAGCTACGCGAATTGCTGAGAGATCTAATATTGAATGTTTAGATGTTCCATCAAATGAAAGGTAATTATTGTGAGCATTGCGAGACTGAAAGATTATATATGTTTTAAAATAAGTTTTAAATATACATATTTTTATGAGAAAATAAAAGATTAAATAACTGAAAATATATTCAAGATATATAAATAGAGAATAATATTTAAGTAATTACTATTTAATTATACTACTATTACTGTTTAAGCATATTTTTTCGTTTATTACAATATTTTGATTGCAAAGAAAGTTAATAAGTATGTATTAAATACATTAATAACATTCTGTTACAAGAAAGAAGACAATTCAAAACTATATAAAATGAAAACTGATCATAAGAAATATAGTATATTTATATATACATATAACTCTAATGTATTTTATGATGATTTATATAATTTTTAATTAATTCATAAATAAAAATTTAATGTTTCATTCTCTTATGAATCACTAGAAGTTTAGATAAAAGGTAACAACTTTCCATTGTACTAGCTGGCTTTCACCAGTCAGCAACTATCGATGATGAATTAACCTAAAGCGTCATAATCCTTGAATACTTTCTTATAAATTACTGCGAAAACATAAATTGGCAAAGCAAGATTTGATACAAAAATTTAAATGAAATTTAAGGATAAATTTGCATTTTTGAAATAGCCTAGATATAAATATGTAAATTGTATCAATCATGCATGTCTTTATTTCTTAATCAAATTTAAATGTTCAGGTTCATTATGCGAGAAACGCTGTTAATAATAATAAACAAATGTAAATAATATAAAGTTCATTTTAAACATTATAATTCACATTTCAATTCTGAGAATTTACTATTTTGTATACCGTGTTTTATATATATATGTACGAGTATTTCGATATTTCATATATTTTATACATATATTTCGATATTTTATGTAGGTACTTTATACACATATCATACAAGGTGTTTCTTCTCAAGTATTTAAAATATTTCTGTTATTTTTAATGATACAACAAAATATTAAAAATAAATATTGTACGTTATAAATATTAAGGTAAGCGAAGATTTTTCTCAAGATCATATTTTTTTAAATATTAAGATCATTTTTTAAATAGAATTATAGGATTTTTTTTGTATATAATATGATTCCTCCAATTATTTTAAATGTAAAAGTAAGGCAAGTAAGTTGAATGTAAAATTAAGGCAGAGTTATCAAAAAATCAATAGTTTATAAGATATTTTTTATACTTTATTTTGGCACTTTTTGACATAAAATATGAAATACCTTGCAAATTGGTGAAGAAAATATATAATTGCTTTTAAACAAAATATGCAATTTATCATACAAAATTATAAATTTTTTTATAACAATTATTTTCTTAGTACCTTAATACAATTTAATCATCTTAATCTGTGCAGAAAAGTATTAAGATATAATTATCAAAAAATGTTTAGTTTATGAGATATGTTATATCGTCAAAACATACCGAAATAAAGTAGTATATAATTATAAAATATTTTGTAAACTATCGATTTTTTTTATAACTCTATGTTGATACATTTACATGCAAAATAATTAGAGGCACCATATTATACAAAAAGAAATTATGTAATTTTATTTACAAAATGGAAAGAATTTTGATATTTAAAAAAAATATAATTTTTATGTTTATTATAATTATATTTATAATTAGAAATTGTGTAGTATTTGCACTTACAAAACAAACAACTTTTCTTTTTTATATTTTGTTGTAAAATGAAAAATATTTTAAATATTCGAATTAGAGGAAACATCTGGCATATTTTAAATTTTTCAGTATTTCCTGTTTTATGTGGTAAAATTATGAGTTTTATTATAAATTCTTATTTCAATTTATAGATTTGAAATAGGTTTAAAAATCGTTACTATAACAAGTTGTCGATTAATGAAATATTTTCAGCATATGCCAAATTGCAATACCTACTGCAGTATTAAAACAGAAAAAAACGTTCGAATTTTTTTATGCGTTCATAGTATATTAAAAAATATTATAATTATATATTTTTTCATTTGCTTTAATGCCGTTATTATATTTAACGTTTATAATAAATTTATTTTTATATTATTCAACAAAAAAACGCGATAGAATGAAAGTTACATGGAAAGTAATCGAATGGAAAGTATAATCCATGGGTAGCACTTATTAGTTCATATACGTTTTATATACGTTTCCTAAACTGTGTTCTACAAAAATTTAGGATGTTTTATATACAAACATATATATAAAATCAATATATAGGGGAAAGTGGGATAATTGTGCGCATCCTGGTTGGGTACTTTGCCAATAGATGAAGACATCACTGTAGTGAAATTTTTACGCAGGAGGTCGTCCTCTTATAATATAACTACAAAAGATACGACGTAAATACATTGCTAGCCAGAGAAATACAAAAATGTGAAATCACATCTTTTCTTGTTAATTTAGCATTCAGAAAATAAGGTGATAAATCCGTATTTTTAATTTGTTTGTTTAAAGTTGCTTACGTTATTAAAGTACGTTATTATGTGCATCTTTTGAACTGTTATTTATTAAGTTTAGTTAGAAATTGTTGAAGTAATCATATTTCATACCGAGTCAAGTCGCGGTGGGCAACTGTGCGCAAGCGTTTTGAAATGCGCACAATTACCCATCTTCATATACTGTATTACTTGCACTAATTTTTTCGTTTTTTCTTGACATTATTATTCTATTTTGCCATTTTATTTTGCCAAAGTCTATGTGTATTATTATTATTATAGTTTTGTATTTTTTCTTAATATACTGTATAATATATATTATATATAATATATATTTAATATATATTTTATTTTTGTATATAATATAAATTTAAAATATATTTAATATACATATATTTATAATGCATTATAATAAATATATATATTTTCTGATTTCTTTGTCAACATTCCACAATTAATTCATTTCTTACGACTTTTGTTTCGCGCACAATTACCCAATCCATGCGCACAATTATCCGACATGTGAGAAATTTTTTCACTTTTCCGTTTTTTCCTTTTGGTCAAATACAACCTTATTGATTGAAAATTTGTTCGATATGAGGATATTTAATGGTAGAAAAATGTTTATGGTTTCTATTTCCATACTTATATTGCTTTGAACTCGGAAATCCATTCCAGGACAATAAATTTCCCTTAGGTGCACACAATTCACCCACTTTCCCCTACTACTGTCGTTTCTCATTGTTTTTGGAGCGTTAATAGAATTCTGTTTATAAACTCCTTTTTAAGAGAATTGAAAATTCTTAATATATTTAATTTTAATTAAATAAAACTTTTTCAACACATTATATTGTAATTATAAAATATCGAGGCATACATAGTGAAAATCTCAATATTTTCCGTACAAATTACAATATGATAACTTTAGTTAATATAATAACTTCTATCTGTTGAAATAAAAAAAGATGTTAAATAAACATAAAATCTTAAAATTCTTTATTGAAAATTATGATAAAAACATTAAATTAATGTGCGTAAAAATCAACTTTACCTAAGTTGGCATTTAAAAGTACACCCATGTCAATATAAGCTTGACGTACATGTAATTTTGAATTTCTTACCTTTTCTGCGAGAATAAAAAAAATCTTCATATAAAGGTTTCCTCTATTCTATCAAAAACTTAGGTAAAATTGTTTCTTATACATTTAATATTTTTGTTATAACTTTTTAATAAAGTATTTTAGAACCTATGTTTAAATGAAATTTTTTTTTCTTTCAACTTATAATAACATATGAGGTCTACCCCAAAAGTATCCGTCCTCTGCATATACTATCTTTGTCCTTGGGCATCCTCTCTATCGTGGAAAACAGGCATTCAATATTTAGTGGGAACTTTGAAAAATACCTCCACCAAGCAACATCACACCCAATAACTATTTAGTCAACAATGGTACGCAGAATTGTGTGAGCGTCGAAAACTCCAAGCGTCGCTTCACAGAGACCGAACGGGTCATTAATTTCATCTGATTCAGGATTTTTTTACTAAATACGGCAATCCCAACTTAGCTAACTCCTATACAGTTCAGATCCCAGACAGCACAGGACATCTACTGGACATCCAGACTTGGTTCCAATTTGGTTCAAATGTCCATGGATTTAATATAAATGTTTTAAAAACGTACGTTATTCAACGTACAAAGTATATTTACATTTGGACATTTAAAAAATGTTCATTTCATGCAAAAAATTTTCTAAATCTGCTCGCGACGTGTTGCTTTCGGTGACTTGACAAGTGAAAATTTTTTTAAGATCGAGAAGTTTTACTTTTGTTACTTCCGGTAACGAAAATTTACCAAATTAAAACTTAATTCAGACAGCAAGCGGCAAGCATCGAGCAGCAATAGCTTGCTTCTCGCAGTTTGGAATCTTTTGCTTCCAGCGTACAGTCAGAAGCCAGTGGAAAGTAGAGTCCCTAGAAAACCATAGAGTCTAGCCATGCCCTAAAAATGGCGTGTATGTCCGAAATGTTTGCTCTCAATTGGTGATATAAATGTATGTGCGTTCTCGATTGGAACTGCCATTGTGTGGGCACGCCAATCACAAGAGAGGATGGAGGGAAGGCCAGACTCTAGTACTCTAGGGACTCTATCCAGTGAGAAAGCTAATATCAAATCGATATCGATAGCATCAAAACGCATCGACGAGATACATGCATACGGCGCATCTCATTGAAACATCGATGGAGTTAAAAATTTCGATCCCTTTTCGACGTACCGTGAGTTGAAATAATTACATTTTAAACTGTATGTACAAATGGCGTACAAAAGTTTCCGGCCAATGACATTTGGTACTTTAATTTATAAAAAAAAAACTGATAAAATTTTATCATTATCGGCCGATATACCGACCGATAATAATGATTAAAATTTTATCAGGTTTTTTCAAATAAATTAAAGTACAAAATGTCACTAGCCGGAAATTTTTGCACGTCACTGTATATATAGCTTGATTATTTGATTATAGAAAAGATTTTTAAGCAAATTTTTGAGAAGCGGCCTTTATTATATATATATATTGCGGAGACTTGCGCGCGTTAATTAAGGTTATTAGCGCAGGTTAAGTTAGATTTGTAGCGTTTCGATATAACTAATTTTTTTATGAATAAATACACTGAGAAAAAAATGTTTGGTATTTGTAACTATAATTACATATCACTATAATTATGATTATTACTGCTGTAATAATAGTAACAGTAACTATGTATATAGTTCTACCAACAAATGTATATAGTTGGCAACCTAAAATGACTATAATTATAGTTGTTATAACCATAAAATAGTTGAAATTACCATAAAAATGATTCAAGTGACTATAATTTTATAGTTATATTTGGGGACAACCATAAAAAATATGGTTGTCCCCAAATATAACTATAAAATTATATTATAGTCACTTGAATCATTTTTATGGTAATTTCAACTATTTTATGGTTATAACAACTATAATTATAGTCATTTTAGGTTGCCAACTATATACATTTGTAGAACATTTGGTAGAACTATATACATAGTTACTGTTACTATTATTATAGCAGTAATAATCATAATTATAGTGATATGTAATTATAGTTACAAATACCAAACATTTTTCTCTCAGTGTACGTTTTATTTATTTATAGAAATAATTATTTCTATAAATAATTAAAATGTATTCATAGAAATCAGTCATGTCGAATTTATATCGAATTTATATCGAATCGACGTCAATTCGATGTCGATATTGATATTAATTTACTGAAGATTTGTTTGGATGGCAAATATATGAATATGAGAAAGATTTCAGGTGAATTTTTTAGTATCAATAAGTATTCGAAATCATGGACAAGATCAAATCAAAATGGACCTTTAAATTGATATAATTTTGATAAATGTTTTCGATGTCAAATCGATATCGATTCGAAATATCATTTCTCACTGGATAGTGGAGGGGATGGCTGGCAGGATGTTTAAACGTCTCATGGACATCTGTGTTAAAAATTTTCAACGACAAAATATCTATAAGAATCATTTTGTGTCTTGATTATGGTCTAAAATTTGATTAATATTAATTTAGTCCAGTTTTAGTCCATTGCGTCCTAAAATGGACATTTTTAAGAAGTCCAAAATAGTAACACTGGATGTTTTTAAAACGTTTTTAAAATATCCATGGATCTAATCTGGATGTTTTTAATATGTCCAAAACGTCCAACATGTACGTTTTAAATATATTTTACTGTGCTGTCTGGGATAGAGCCCCGTGTGATTTCTGATTATTTCCTAAATTGAAAAATCTGTTGAAGAGCAAATGATTTGGAATGCAACAATGAGGAAGCTGTTGGCTGTTACAAAAAATGACTTCCAGGATTACTTTTGGAAATAGGTGGACCGTTGGAAGAAGATCATTACTTCGATAGATCAGAGGCGACATTGTCCATAGCACTCCAAAGTAGGCTCTTTCTCATAGATAGAAGTCGGATACTTTTGGGACAAACTTTGTACTGTTAAAATTTGTACAGAAAATCCGAACCTATATTAAAATAGTTCTTTTTTACTATTTTAATAACAAATTTTTCAAAATTGCGATGTTGTAGAACAATATATAATAAACAGGATCGTATTTAGTATATAGAAGAAATTCTATAGGAAATAAGTATTTTTGTTTTTGTGCTTGAAAAAAGTCATTTTTTGTTCAACAATATTATTAATTAATCATGTAATCATGTATTATTTCAACAAAATATTACATTTATTATGGGGTAAAGATATTAAAAAATGATAACCATAATAAACAATTTTACAACGTTTTTTGACAACTAGGTCATAAAATGATGACTCTGAAGAAAGGTGTACATATAATCTACGATTTATTGCTGTTTATCGGCCTGGCAATAGTTTATTTCACCGAAGCTGTAGTGTTAATGTTAATTCCTCGCCGATATCGAGCAAAATCAATCAAGGGTGAAATTGCTCTTATTACTGGTGGTGCTAGTGGTATTGGCAAACTAATCGCAATCAAATTTGCCAAACTTGGTGCTCATGTAATCGTTTGGGATATCAACAAAAATGGTAAGAGATTATTCAAGTTATTCCAAATGAATAATGATTCTTTTTTTTAATTGAAATGTTAAACATGTACATATATGTAGATGAAAGGAACGGTGGGTAAAGTGACGAAATGGGGACGATAAATTGCCAATTTTCCAAATTAATAATGGGTGATAAGCTAATGTTGTACTCGTTAAGGGTTTTGGTAATTATGCAGAGATACGGATCATCCTCCGATGATCCTGACCTTGATATATGTTGTCAAGGTCATCCTTCTGAGTGACCTTCAACAGGTTTCAGCCGTCGCTTATTCATTAAAAAGTTATTAACAAAAAAAGTTTGAAAAAATACAATCTTATTTCTGCTATATTTAATATTAAAAAGTATACCTCTGTACCTTTCCTTGTTTGAGGCAAGGGGAAGGATTTCGCTTCGCATGGAAAGTCGCGCGCTTCTTGGCAGGGGGAGAGGTGGGGTGAAAGTCGCTTCGCGTGTAAGTCGTGCGCCCCTTGACAGGGAGGAGGTGATGGGGTAGACTTTCCTATGCATAGGAAGCCATTACGTAAGCAAGAAAGCATATAGAATAGTTTTTAATATTATGTATAGCAGAAATAAGACGTTATTTTTTCAAACTTTTTTTGTTAATAACTTTTTAACGAATAACGAACGATGGCTGTTGAAAGTCACTCAGGATAATGACCTTGACAACATATGTCAAGGTCAAGGTCATCGGATGGTGGTCCGTGTGTCTACATAAATTAGAGGAAAGTAGGATAATTATGCGCAGCGGATAATTGTACGCATTTTGGCACTTTCCCGACAAACGAAAACACCACCACAGCGGAATTTCTGAGCTAGAAATAACTCTTTTAAAATATAACCATAAATTATACGGTTTAAAACTGTAGTTAGTGTCAAAAGTGAGAAAAAGTGAAATTACATAATTTCATAATTTTGACATTCAGAAAATAAGACTATACGTCCGTATTCTTATTCTGTTTATTTAATCGTGAATAATTTACAAAAATTCTTTGCGCGTCTTTTAAGCTATTATTCGTTGAGTTAAGTTATAAAGTCTTCGAATAATCGTTTTTCTTATCAAATCAATTCACGGCGAATAATTGTGCGCATGGACAACTCAAAGTTTCCTCTCAATGAAAAGTGTACTATTTGCGAAAAATTCGGAAAATATGGAACTCTGTCCAGTCAACAAACTAAAAGTAACATGATATTAATGTTGTAATTTCGTATTCCATAATATAAATGTAACATAATACATGCACTGAAAGAAAAGATTGATTGCTGCAACAATTTAGATAGTAAAATATGGCATAGCATTTTTATATGGCTGCAGCAACCAAATTTGGTTGTAGCAGCAAATTTTTAGTTGTATTAACCTATCCGCAATGTCAGTATATGATTTCGACAGGCTAATGCAACTAAAAATTCACTGCTACAACCAAAATCTGGTTGCTGCAGGCATATAAAAATGCTATGCCATATTTTATTATCTAAATTGTTGCAGCAATCAATCTTTTTTTTCAGTGTAGTGTTACATAACAGCCCAAGAAACACACCAAGTTGAAAAAAAATCAAACGTACATTGACGTGAAAATGATGATTTTTGAGTACAAAATTTGACTGTTTATTGACTTTAAGCATTAAAATTAAGTCATTTTGATTTTTTGTTGATTTTTGTGTTCCTTAGGAGTAAGTACTACACATTGTAGAGTGCAAAATTATAACATTAACATTATGTTACTTTTAGTTTGTGTCGACTGGGTGATTTCAATGTTGCATGTGTTCTAAATGAGTCCATGAACAATGCAGTGGAACTGATGACCCTGAGAATTACATATGTGATTTTTGTTTAAATAATTAATTTTTCCAACTTTTATATTACTTTTTCAAAGTTTATATTAATTTTATATTAACATTGGTATAATAATATATTTTTTCATTTTCTAACCAACATTCCATGAAACATTTTCCATGAAATATTTATTTTATTAATTTTATATTTATTTCTTACGATTTTGGCTTTGCGCACGATTTTCAATTCATACGCACAATTACCCAACACACGAAAAATTTTTTCGCTTTTGCTTTTTTTACTTTTTACCAGATACAACATTATCGAATGAAAAATTGTTCAATATAAGAATGCATATTGTTAGAAGAATATTTATACTTTGTATTTCCATGTTTATATTGACTTCAACTTCAAAAATCACATTACACCAATAAATTCCCTTTAAGGGGATGCTAAACCGATTATCCAACTCAATAAAGGTCGATAGTACAGACTTTTTAAATTCCAATTTCGATAATAGTGACGACATCTTTGATTTAGTTTTTACATTATATTATATAATATATATCATTCTGTCTTACTCAAACGCATACATCTGTTCTTATCTAACATATGCCAGCACCATCTATCGCAAGACCGCGCAACTACTACTACACGGAATTTCGGCTCTGTTGACAGTCCCAGTCTCTGCAAAGCATCTGTATACACGTATTTCCTATTCGGTGGGAATATATCTTTTCTAGACTTTCAATCTTAGTTCTACAAATTCGGTATCGTTCGTTTCAATAATGTGATGTTTGCTGCCCGCTTATTTTCAAGATATGGACTCTAAAACTCTTATATCAAGCAAATATATATCCGAGGTGACAGCTGTGCGAGCCAAAAATAAGTAAATTTTATAATTTTTTTTCGATTTTCTCATAAAATCCAGTGTAGCAAACATCCTCTGTGTGCGTACTATAATTTAAGTAATAATACTTTTGCAATCCGTACATCCAATACGGAGAAATCCCACCGAATAGGAATGTGGTAAAACAGAGGGGCTTTAGCATCGCCTTAAGGGGATCCTAAAGCAAAGCTCGAACTCCAACGAAATCACTAGATGTCGTGCCGCGCGCCGCACATCGACATGTTTTTTTATACTACCCCAGCAATATCTCACGCAGCCTATGATACACGCAGTCACACATACGTATCAATTTTCGTACAACGAATTCATCGCGATAAAGCGTCTAAATCTAATTCTAAGAACGCGACGTTGTATGTTTGTGCAAATTACGTGTTTGGGAACTATTATTTCGTACGTTCGGGTTGCAAAGCTTTCATATCAAGCAAATGTTGTCACGACTTGACAGCTGAGATGCCATGTTACACTAAGGAATGGTAAAAAATATATCGATTTCGAAATTTTTGATCAATCTCAGCGTAGACTCCATTTCACAAACACGTATTAATGCGTATACTTTAATCCTGGAAAAGGATTTTCCAATCCGTGAAAGAGAAAAAGAGTATTCGTTATTTATTCGTTATACAAAAATTATACGTGTTTAGTCGGTAATACAGATCTTTAGGATCCCCTTAAGGGGATCTTAAAGTAAAGCTCGAACTCCGACGAAATCACCAAAGGTCGCGCCGGACGCCGCGCATCTAGAGTCCCTATAATAAGAGTCAAGGCATAAGACCGGAAGGACGCCATTGCTGAGCGCCGGCCGGAAACAGCACAAATAACGCGTGGCACAAATAGACGCGTTCGCGCCTGTTTGTACTACTACACCATGAAACAGTTGCTCACACCAATTAACAGATTCACTAACACATCGAAAGCGCCTAGAAATTGCTGCGACCAATCACGAGGGCGTCGCCCCTCATATCTTGACTCTTATTATAAGGACTCTACGCACATCGACATGTCTTTTTATACTACCCAGCAATATTAGTAGGGGAGGCCAAGCGGGGATTTTGGGATTTACTCGAGCGCGTCAGAATAACATAAAGGGGGAAAGCTTGCACCCTAATAAGTACCCCCACCACATATTAAACCTCTATATAGAGCCGGGGGTCCAGGGGAGCCCGTCAAATTAGTATCTAACTCGAGCGCGTCAGATTAAGGTATGGTGTGTTAATTACATGTAGAAAAGTGTACATTTCAATAATCTAACGATTTCAGCGTGACGTAAGGAAATGGGAGAGTCACAAAGTTGCAAAAAAAAGATTTTTTGACCCCTTCGTACAGCTAACCCCACCACGCAAACCGTCAGATTAATATTTATCCGTTATCAGAAACACATGGGTCGCTTACACTATTAATATCTGACACGCTCAAGTACTGTACACGCCTGTACACGCCGTAAAGCCTGTACACGCTCCCCCCACCACTGAAACGGCATACATCATATAACCTTTTTTTCTTTTTAGCATCTAATCTTCACAATCCAATAGGTCCCCACGACGCTCGAGTAAATCCACATTTAGTCTCTCGGCCTCCCCTACTATATCTCACGCAACCTGTGATACACGCAATCACACGTACGTATCAATTTTCGTATAACAAATTCGTCGCGATAAAGTCTAAATCTAATTCTAAGAACTCGACGTACCCAGTATCCGAAAAGGAAATGAAATAAATTGAAAATTTTTAATCTATTTTAATTTATTCGAATCAAAATTCTTGATTCATGCATATGGATAGAAAGGAATTGAATGTGGTAAAATTGAATAATTTTCTATCCACATGGATAGAAAGGAATTGAATCATTTTCTATTCATAGGATCCTATTCCATCGTTTGTGTAGGATCCTATTCCATCATTTTCTATTCTATGTGTTGGATCCTATTCCTATTGCATAGCTTATTTTTTCCGCAAAACTTTTTTTCGATTAAAAGGAATACAAATTCTGTAGATTCAATCCCACGTCATGGATTAAAATGAATAGCATGGCTTATTTTTTCGAAAAACTTTTTCGATTAAAAGGAATATAAATTCTGTAGATTCAATCCCACGTCATGGATTAAAATGAATCGCATGGCTTATTTTTTCCATAAAACTTTTTTTTGATTAAAAGGAATATAAATTCTGTAGATTCAATCCCACGTCATGGATTAAAATGAATTGCATGGCTTATTTTCTCCGTAAAACTTTTTTTTGATTGAAAGGAATACAAATTCTGTAGATTCAATCCCACGTCATGGATTAAAATGAATAGCATGG